ACCATTCACATCTCTCATACCTATAGCCTCTCCCAGGTAAACACTCAACTCATCCTCATGATATCAAAACTCAAAGCACACATGTAACTAAAACACTTGTCTCATATCAGGCCAATCTCGCATTTGGGGACATCAAAGACAGGAAGGCAATAGGAAAAGTGATGATTGCTCTCGACCACAAGGCTACTCTGTCTTCAAAACTATAGAGACTCTATGTAGCCATAGAAGAGAGAACCGGTTCTGTTTCTCAAAGTTTACTACGTCATAATGTAATTTACCACATCCTGTTTGGATTAAATAATCATGACTTTGTTTGGATTCTCTAGATATCACCTTTTTTTTGCAGAATAAATTTCAGAGTATGTTACTGTTTTGGTCTATGGGTTTATGTAAACCGGTTTTGGCTTGAGGGAAGATCAAGGTTCTGTCTTTCCGGTTAGTACCGGTTTAAGCATAAAAGAAACCAGTACAGAATCCAGAGAGACAAAAATGTATGAGAATATCATATATCTATGTTGTCTTTTTTTACAAAATTAGCAAATCAGTTATTATGGTTCATCAAAACCACCTGCATCATCAAGAAGAAAAACGTCTTCATATCTTTTATCGAATGCTTTTGTGATTTGACTCCATCCCTATCTGAATTCTTCATGTTTTTCTTTCAATCTCTTCCCATTAAAATGAAATTGTTCTGAATCCAAGAACACAAATCAATAAATTCTTGAAAGCTTTATATTTTCTTTTCTCTCTTTTTTTTTAGGATTTATATCTTCTGTTGTCATTTAAATTTCTTCTCTTTCTTTTTCTTACAATTGTTGTGCATTACAAATAAGGGTTTTTGATTCTCCGTTTTGTTTGATCAATATGTTGAGCCAATGAGAAGCAAATTTGGAATTGGTTGTGGAAAGAGTTGATGGGAAACCGTTGTGTAAGAACTCCTTGTTGTAGAAAGGTAATGACTAAATCCTCTAAAGGTTTTGGTTCTTGAATTTTCTTATTAGCTACAACATCTTGTGTTTGAGTCTTGTAGTGATTCAAAGTCTGGCTAGGCATAGCTTATCAGATAAGATGAATAATCTATACCAAGAAACCGGCAACATAAAACTCTATCATGTGTTTTGGTTCTTGATTTTCTTGTTAGCTACAAGATCTTGTGTTTGAATTTTGTAGTGATTGAATGTTTGAATAGGCATAGCTTATGAAGAATCTATGTTAAGAAACCGTTTACATAAAACTCTATATATGTATTTACAGGTATGGTCATGTATATGCTGCAGCAACAACAACAAGAACAACGAGGCTCAAGCCCGAAGCCACCATGGGTCCAAAGGAAAGGTCCATCCTGTAACCAAAATAGAGAAATGGGAAGAAAAGATCACAGAAGCTAACAACAATGGCCAGATTGTAAGCTTTCTTCTTCTTGAAAATATGTTTGACATTTGCTTCGAGTAACTAACTTAATCATTCAATCAAATATCGAACAGCTTGTGGTGTATTTCAGCGCACCGTGGTGTGTACCTTGTAAAAAGATAGAACCAGAATTCAGAAAACTTGCTTCTAGATACCCTTCAATGATATTTGTAACCATTGATGTTGAAGAACTCGCTGTAAGTAAAACCTAAAAATAGACTGTTTTGAGAAGAAGTGTTAGGATTTGAGATTGAATTTGGTGAAAATAAAAACACAGGAGTTTAGTGATGAATGGAATGTGGAAGCTACACCAACGATAGTTTTCCTTAAAGATGGGAGACAAATGGATAAACTTGTTGGTGCTGAAACCTCAGAGCTTCAGAAGAAAACAGCTGCAGCTGCAGATCTCTTACTCAAAAAACCTTAAACTCTAAACAACATATGAGAAACAGAGTTAGTTTTTCTTTCATCCTCTGTCAGAAGTTTGTTCAGAGGAAGTACTTTCAAGAAGTTACTTGCGGATTAAGTAAGTGTCATGAAATTTATTAACCCTTGAAGATTTGACTTACTAAGATTTATATTCTTTTTCTAATGTTGTTTCAAACAAATCATGGAGATGGAGAAGAGTTTGGTGAGGAAGAGTTTATATAGCAGCCATGCCTTCTTTGGTTCTCATTTGTGCAAATGCATTTGTTTCTATTTTATATATTCTCAGATGGTTATAATGTTTCCAACAGTAAAAGAACACTTCAAGTGCATATTTGTACAAAATTCTCTATTAATTTTACTGTATTCTATTTGAAAACCTGAACAAACGGTCAAACACGGTATAGAATGAAAGATTTTTCCATACAAATTTGTTGGTAATGCAACTACCAGTCACATAATAAACGTTGGAAAGAGTTAGCGTATTATTCAAGCTCAAAATGCATTGGTCAATAATACTTTTGCTTTATGTTGGCAAATTACAAAGTTGCACGTTGAATTATTTCTTTTTTTTTTTTTTTAACACTGGTGTTTGAAGGTACAATGAAAACTAAAAACGAGCCAACACAAACATGGGAATCAGTGAGATGCATGGGTATAAAGGAATGTCATTAGACACCAGAACCAAGAAAATCTCACCCAATCCGTTAACTATTGAGCCTCCAAAGCGAGAAGATGGTGAAGCCAAACTGGAGAATTCCGGGCAATGTACGATTGGTGTCGTAGATCACGGGTGACACTTAAGGCAATGGCCGCTGCAGCTTCGTTGCGCTCCGGGATAGCGTGATCAATCCTCCATGCTTCTATCCCTGTAAGGAGGAATGATATATTGTGGCGGATGAGGCTGAAACTCTGATGATCAGCTGGCTTGGTGAGAATATCGTGGAGGCTTTCTGAGGAAGTCTCGAAAATAATATTCGAGAAGTGCAGATTCTGCAGACATTCAATCGCCCAGAAAAGAGCCCATAAGTCTGCCTCAGCTTTTGTGCGCATACAAGAGTAAGCGCGACGACTATGCATGAGTGTACACCCTTTTTCGTCACGCAGAATCCATGACGCTCCGCTAATAGGACTTGATTTTACCCATGAGGATCCAACATTACATTTAAGGAAACCATTTGTGGGTTTTGTCCATTGAACCTTATTCAAGTCAACTTCATTAATTCCATTCTTCGATCCTGTGAAGGTATCAAACCATGTGGATTCTTCTTCATAAGCTTTTTTAGCAATAACTGAAGATTCAATATCCATGGCTTTAAAGATGAAAGCATTCCTAGCTTTCCAGATTTCCCACAACAACCATGGAAAAACTTTTCTAATGTGTATATCCGTAGTTGAACTCTTAGCCATCTTAATCAAATGCACCAAATTTAAAAAAATAGAATTCTGAGAGAATCCTCCTGATGGTAATGGGAAATGAGATTGCTCCCATGTGGACCGTGCTTTTACACATGTAAAAAGAACATGGCAGATACTTTCATCACCGCTACCACAAACAGAACATGTCGAATCAATCGTTATACCCCTAGTATTCAATCTTTGTTTGACAGCTAGTGCACCGGAAAGAGCTCGCCACATAAAGTGTTTAATTTTCGGTGGAGCTTTGATCTTCCACAAGTCTCTCCACAATTGTTTTTCAATAGGAGTAAGAGAGTGAGCCTGGGGGTGATCAAAATCCACCAAAGCCTCCAATAATTTATATCCACTGCGAGTTGAATAAGACCCATTGGTTGTGAATCCCCACCTGATCGAGTCTGCATGGACCAAGGATGGTTTCAACCGTAAAATCCTTTGCACATCTTGTGGTGTGAAGGTCTGATTTAATAAGTTAATATTCCATTGATTTGTTCCCTGAATGAGTAATTCAGAGACCTTTAGAGCTAAATTGATAGGACTATTCTCCCGGTACATCGGAGGCCGAGGAATGATGTCAATAATCCAGTTTTCTGCCCAAACATTGGAATCAGCCCCATTACCAATATGACGATATAAACCCTTTTTAAGCAATTCTCTACCATGCATGATACTCCTCCAAGCATATGACGGACGTGTTCCCATTCCACAGTCAAGAAAATCGCCATTTTTGAAATATTTTCCTTTCAGAATTCGAGAAACCAAAGAATCAGGATATTTCCAAATTCGCCAAGCTTGTTTCCCAAGTAAAGCCTGATTAAAACGACCAATGTCATGAAACCCAAGACCCCCCTGTTCTTTAGGTTTACACAATTTTTCCCAAGAAACCCATGGGATTTTTCTCTTTTTATCCCCACTACTCCACCAAAATTCAATAATCGCACTCGTAATTCTTTCACAAAGACCTTTTGGTAACTTGAAAACTGACATAGCATAAACCGGAAGGGCTAAAGCAACTGATTTTATTAGGACTTCCTTAGCACCCATCGACAAAGTTTTAGAATACCACCCCTGTAATCTTCCTTCTAATTTTTCTTTAATAAAATTTAGAAGATCTTTTTTTGAACCCTGAAAACATTCAGGTAAGCCAAGATATGAACCTTCTCCACCTTCTTTCTCAATGCCCAATACCTCCTTGATAGCATGTTTGGTATCCTCAGCGATGTTTTTTCCAAAAATAATGGATGACTTCAAAGTGTTTATCATTTGTCCAGAAACATCTCCATAAAGTTTCAGACCTTTCACAATTTCCTCACTATCCCGAACAGAAGCTTCACATAGCAACAAGCTATCATCGGCAAATAACAGATGGTGAACAGATGGACTACCATTAGCTAACTTTATGCCATGTAGTTTACCTTGTGCTTCAGCTCTGTTTAAGACATGAACAAGAGCTTCAGCGCATAAGATAAAAAGAAAAGGGGATAAAGGATCACCCTGCCGTAGTCCTCTTTCTGGTTTAATGAACCCATGGGAACGTCCATTCAGAAGTACTGAGAAAGTGACAGTAGAAATACATGACATTATCCAAGCAACCCATTTGCGATCAAATCCCATTTTTTCTAATAATACTTCGAGGAAACTCCATTCTACCCGATCGTAAGCTTTTGACATATCTGTCTTAATTGCCATACTTTCCTTACCAATTTTATCATTTGTTCGTAACCCATGTATCAGTTCGTGCGCAATGATGACATTATCTGTGATTAAACGACCTGTAACAAAAGCCCCTTGAGTTTCTGATATTATATGAGGCAAGACTACCTTCATACGATCACAAAGGATACGAGAAATGATTTTGTATTGTACACTGCAAAGGCTAATAGGCCTCATATCCTTCATCTCCGTAGGATGTAAAATCTTTGGTAACAAACACAATTGTGTATGGTTCCACCCAGCAGGGAGAATTGCCGTTTTAAAAAAACCTTGAATATCATCAATAATTGTCTGTCCCACGATGTGCCAGTATTTTTGGTAGAAAAAACCAGTAAGTCCATCCTCACCAGGGGCACTACTACTTTTAATACCAAAAGCTGCTTTCTTAATTTCGTCGGGAGATACCTCTCTAGTTAACATTGTATTCATCCCCGAAGTTACTCTACTATCAAAACCGTCAAACAAAGTATCCAAGTCTATTGGATTTGAGCTTGTAAACAATTCTCGAAAATATTCAGTAGCAATATGTCCTTTAGACCCTTCGGAGTAATGTTCATTACCAAAGATATCTCTTAGCATTAAAATTTTATTTCTTAATCTCTTCCCTTTGACCACATTATGAAAATAAGTAGTGTTTCTATCCCCTTCCCGTAACCATTCTTCTCTACTCCTTTGTCTCCAGAAGATTTCCTCTTCCCTATATGCCATTGCCAGTTCCTGTCTTAATCTCCTCATCATACCCAGAGTGGGGAATTGTTTTGAGCTTTCTTTGTCCAAGTCCCTTTGTAACCGTTCGATTCTTGTTTTTGAATTCCAGTCATTAGTCTTTTTTAACTTGGAAAGTTCCGATCGACATCGAGCAATACGCTCAAGAACACTTAGGTTTGAATGAACGTTCTCTAAATCCCATCCCCGAGCAATGGCTTCATTAACCCCTCTCTTCCCATACATACGTTTATCAAAATAAAACCGTCCTCTTTGTAAATTCTCAGGTTCGAAAGCGAACTCTATACGCAAAGGTCGATGATCAGACGGCCACATACTCATATAGTCAGTAGAGGATTGAGGGAAAAGGCGAAACCATTCCTCATTACCAAAACTCCTATCGAGCTGGCATTGCACCCAGTTGTGATCCCGCATGCCCGCCCATGAGAGAGTATTTCCCGTGGTCCTCATCTCCCTTATTTTACATGCTTCAGCCATGTTTCTAAAATCAAAAAACGTTGATTCGTCTCGAAGAGGACCTCCCAATTTTTCCCCGTTATGCATTAGTTCATTAAAATCCCCAACCAACAACCATGCTTCATCTCTGACCACACCTATCTCCGTTAATTTATCCCAAACATAGCGTCTTCTTCCTCTTACTGGATCACCATATACGCAGGAAAGAAAGAAACCAATAGACCCCATTGTTATTTTAAGATCAATAAGTCTGTTATCACTATAAATAATATCCACTGTGTAACACCCTTTCCACATTAACGCTAGACCCCCACTTCGCCCAATGGGTTCAACCGTATGCAAATGATCATATCCCAAACTTGATTTTAGCGTATCCATATAAGCAATCTTTTGTTTGGTCTCCATAAGAAATAAAAAATCGGGAAAATATTGACGTCGAAAGTCCCGAATCCGTTGTACCGTATCCGAACCACCAGCACCCCGACAATTCCAACTCAAAATACTCATAAAAACTTATAATACTCTAAGGATTCTCAGTAAAATCCATAATACTGAGGTTTAATGAGACCCAATATTTTGCATCATACATACACCATTTAGAGACACTACCGATCCATGTGTAGACCAAGAATAAAAAAACCATAAGAAACCAGAAATCCCACGTAACCAACCTAGTGTCACACTGCATTCGTATAAAAAGCTTCTCATATTTGTAAATAATAAATCTCCATAACTCAGTATATGAAAGACAAACAAGAGAGTCAAGACAGAAACGTAATATGCTTTGTTGCATGTTAATTATGTCCCTGGCAGAATGCAAAGACATATGGTCACACCGATCCGGAAAATATTCAGACCCTTGGAAGTGGATGAAAACCCAAATTAATATACCATCAGTTTCCCCTTGCCCACCGTTATGAATGACCCAACTCGTATCATTATTAAAGAAAACCTCCCTATAGATGAAAATCTCAATAGTATATGGAAAAATCAAAAACTGGCACCATAACCATATGCACAGATTTAGCAATATCGTCTGACCTTCTTCCTTTGTCAAATATAACCAAAGATCATCCAAAAACCAACCCCAAAATAATTCCATCAACCATACATCACCACAACAACCATGAGACAATTCGAACCTTAAATAATTCCTCCTTGTGTACCATCTCTTAAGGTCAATAAACCTGCAATCTGCAGCTTTCATACAAATATCCATCATCCCATTTATCATGTAAGGATCCATGTGCATTACTATAGTCAGATAACCTACATTCAAATTCATTAAAAAAGACCAGCAGAAAGGCAAATTATATAAAGCTAACCAATCCGTATTTTTCATTACCTCAGGATCATAGAGAGAGAGCTTAAAAAGACTAAAGACAAGGAACGAAACCATTGAATTGAGGCCACCAGTAAACCATGAAACCAAACATTTATTCAACATAACTAATTGAAAAGACACCAGAAGGCGGAAAACAAAACACAAAGAATTTAAAAAGAAAGATCCAATCTATTATAAATAAACCATGTTCCTTATATAAAGAAAGATCCAATCTATTATAATTACAAAAGAATATAAAGACAATAAAGTTGCTGTTTATTGGCGATCCCCAAAGTTGACTTTTTCAGAACCGGTCGTTACAACTTAGGAACTGGACCTCAACTTTTGTCTCTCATCAATGCAACTCTCAGATCTTAATTTTCCACAAGTAAAGAAATAAATAAACAAGTACAAGTCAGTTGAACCATCATCACCTTGACCATTATACAATTTGATATTTTTTTTGTTATTGTAGTTCATGTGCCTGATCTGATTCATATATAGTAATAATCTCTCCTCCTTGCTTGCTTGAAAGATCATCATCAACAAAAGGCTTTGTACGCTGAAAACAGAGAAGATCATTCATCAAAGATAAGTCCATCATCAAACCATGATGAAGAAGAAGAAACAAAGTAGATCCCAATCTTCTACCAGGGAACCATCCCCAGATTCTTCACCTTCACCTAGGCTCCTCTCCATTTTCCGTTCTAAGGTGACTTCTTTCTTCTCTCTCTCTTAGGCTTTTGATCCTTCCTATGACAAATTCTCTGGTTCTGGATTTGAGCTGTTGTACTTGCTTTTTGTAGTTGGTAAGTGGTAAAGACTTGAAGCATATGTTCAGAGGCATGAAGACCAAAACCGCACCTGGACTATCCTCTCAGTCTAGAATCGTGAGATGTCCCAAGTGCCACAAGCTTCTACAAGAACCTATAGATGCGACTATTTACAAATGCAGTGGATGCAACTCGATTCTTCAAGGTACAATAATAGCCTTCTTTAAGTCCCCCTCCCTAACCTTGCTTATATTCACAAGTAAAGTAACCTTCCTTGTGCTTAGAGTTCTCTGCTTCTTGTGTTCTTTCTTTGCATGTAGCAAAACGTTGGGAACTGGAAAGTAATAGTGACTCTATTCCAGAGGCTCTTCTTTATTCTCAAAACCGTAGTTTAAGTACACAGTTAGAATCTGCAGAAGGTGGCAGTCAAACTCCAATGAGTAGTTACCGGAAGTACAACTCAAGGGCATCCCCTTCTGTTGACAGGGGTTATCATTCAGAAACTGTTTACAAGCATGAGACATCTGATATTAGCAAAGAATGGATGAGAAGGGCTGATGAGTTCAGTGTGACAGGTGACTCTGATGCGTTTGCTTCAGCAAGAAGCTCTCCATATAACTCACGCAGCAATGCTGCACCGGAATGGACACAACATGAGAGGAGACATAAAGAGCCGCATCAGGTTCCTTTTTATCCAGCTAGTCCTTCCCCTTCTTCTGCATATGAGTATGGCTACACTAGTCCCTTTCACGGCTCTCAAGCTTCTGCATCGGAGCAGTCTTATTATCATCATCAACCAAACCAATTCAAGCCAAAAGACAGAGAAGGCTGGTTTCAAGAATCTCCTGCTGCTTCACCAATTCGTTTCCCTGGTGAGACATCTGATAAAAAATACTATCCCTCGTCTTCTCAGTCTCAGGTTCATGATCCTCGGTATCATAATCTCTATGGACCCATTAGCTCTGCAACCTCTCATCGCTCTGTGTACTCTGAGCATAGTTATCAAGCAGATACAACGCCCCTCCGTTCCCAATACTCTGCGCATCCCAAGAGTGGAACAAGCAAAGAGAAGAGCTCTCAGAGGGGGAAAAAGAAGCATGTCAGAAAGAAGAATCCGGTGGTGAAACGCTACGTTCTTCCTTCAGCGGGAGGAGCGCCTTTTGCAACTTGTTCCTATTGCTTGGAACTTCTACAGCTTCCTCAGGTGTCTCTCCGTGGAAAACATAAGAAGTATCAAGTGAGATGTGGCAGTTGTTCCGGTGTACTTAAGTTCTCTGTCCGAGAGAAGGCAGATACTGTCCTCGGTTCACCTGGTTTTGCTGAGGAGACTGTTACTAATCATCAGGATTCAGCTTCAGAAGGTCATGAAGAGATTAATTCGGATGGCTCCACTTCAGACAACGGCTCCGGGGATAGATCCTGCAAAAGCAACGATGCTGTTATCATGAGGCGGAATATGGAAACGTTTGAGGATAATGAGAGTAAAGAAGACACAAGGAGCATATCAAACACAGTTTTAGATTCGGAAACGGAGGCGTTGCAGCCTTCTATGAACCACAAGTTATGGGAACAACAACCTGCATCAAGTGAGGGAATCAGAGTTTCAAGAAACCATCTAGAGCAATCTGAGGAAGCTGAAAGAGTCAGTTGCGATATAGAGGAGGCTAGATTAAACGAGAAGAATGAAAATCTTAAGCCAGAAGATATGTTTGGTGAGTCCTTAGAGGTTCAAGTATACAAGAACGAAAGAATGAGTGATTCAAGTATAGAAGCTGAGACAGTTTCAGATAGCCCGGTATCTCATACTGGTCAAGCTGAAACACGTGTGCTATCTGAGAAAACCGGAGACACTCAAGTGCTTAATTGGGAGGAGACTCAAGACCATGAAAGTGAATGTAAATGGGAAAATATTATGGGAGACAAACCGGGTTTGATTTTGGAGAAATCTCGGTACAATGGAGATTCAATCTGTGACATCAGCTCATGCAATGGTGAAATATACGAGGATACAGCAATCAAGGAAGATATAAAGCACATAGCAGCTGCACCACAGAACGAGAACCAGAGGTTTATAGAACATCCTGACCAGTCAGGTGAGGCTACAGTAACAACATCCAAGATCCATGAGGAGCAGTCCAAGTATGAGTATGAGAACTTAAGCAAAAGACAAGAGTTGGATAAGAACATTAGTGACAGAGTCAGGTATGAGTTAGAGGAGTCTATATACGAGACAAATGAGGCTCTTGATACTGGCAAAGTGAGCGAAGATGGATCTGTTGTTTCTCTCACAAAGGCGAGTGAAACATTCAAAACAAGCATAGAAGGCGAGGAGAGTTTCGCGTCTCATCAAATGGATCCTCCAAACGAGAATGGAGAAGATTCCTATGATGAAATACTTGAGTATGCAGGTGAACGAACATGGGCAGAGACTATGGAAGATAGAGCGGTGTTACATTTGGAGGAATATGAAACCAACTATGAGAACTACAGAAAACCATTTGTAGGGACGATAAACGAACCAGAAGAGGATGCTGATGGAAGATTGGAATCCAGTTCAAGGGGTTCCTTCAGTGACCATGAAAGTTTAGAAGAGAGTGTTGTGTTTCAGGAATCTCAAGATGCTAAACCAGATCAGTCCCAGTATGAGTATGAGATACCAAGCAAAAAGGAAGAGTTAAGTAATACCGTTTTTGACACAGAAAGGCATGAGATACAGGAGGATAGATACGAGTCAAACGAAACGCTTGAGCCAGCCAATATGGTCGGAAATGGATCTTTTGTTTCTCTTGAGAAGGCGAATGAAACAAACATAAGTGAGACAGGGGAAGAGAGGTCGGTATCTCATCAAATGGCGCCTCAAAACGAGAATCGAGAGGCAATGGGAGATGAAGCCGAGTTACAGTTGAAGGAATATCATAGCAAGCCACATGAATGGACTTCAGAGAGAGCTCCAACATTTCGTCTGCATACGTACGAGGTAGGGACAATGCTTGCATCAGAAGAGGATGCGAATGGAAGATCATCCAGTTCAACGGACTCCACCAACGAAAATGAAACTTCAGAAGAGAAAGCTGTGGTTCATGAGGAGTCTTTGCGGGTGGATGAGAACAAAATAGAAGGGCTAATAGTTAGTCTAATGGTGGAAGATGGACCATCATTGCACTTGGAGAAGTGCGGAAATGATTCAACATTTGAATGGACAGAAAGAGCTCCAACAATTCATTTGCATGAGCTAGGGACAATGCTTGAACCAGACGAGCATGCCGATGGAAGATCAGAATCCAGATCAACTGGTTCCTTCAGTAACGATGAAAGTTCAGAGTTGAGAGCTGTGCTCCACGAGGAGGAGGAGCAGCTAATCAGCGATAGCAGAACTGAAAAGCTACAGCTACACGAAATGACAGAAGATAGGGTATCACTGGGCTTGGAGAAGGGTGAAAACAGATCAATAAAATTGGAAGAGACATTTGACTGGACTTCAGAAAGAGCTTTAACGTTTCGTCTACATGAGTCTGAGTCTGAGCAAGGGACAAGGCATGCTGATGGACAATCAGAATCTAGTTCAAGAGTTTCCTCCTACGAAGATATAATTTCAAAAGAAAGAGAGATAAGCCATGAGGAAGAGCCCAGGCTGGTGATTGATAGCAGAACCGAAGCGCAACAAGTAGACGAAATGACAGAAGATATGGTATCATTAGACTTGGAGGGTGAAAATGAAACAAGGAAACTGAATGAGACATTCAAGTGGACTTCAGAGAGAGCTTTAACATTTCGTCACCGTGAGTATGAGCTAGGGACAATGCATGAACTGGACGAAGATGCAGATGGACGATCAGAATCTAGCTTAAGAGGTTCCTTTAATGAACATGGAATTTCAATAGAAAGAGCTGTCCTCCACGAGGATGAGTCTTGGCTGGTGGACGATTATGAAACCAAAGCGCTTAAAGCAGGCGTAATGGCAGAAAACGAACCATCACTGAACTTGGAGAAGTGTGAAAACGAAAAAGTGGTATTGGACCAGACACTTGAACCAAGAGGTGATATATTCAGGCTCAGTCTTGATGACACTCAGACCTTTAAACAAGGTGACACTGAAGAAAACATACCAGCATCTGAAGGCCATGAATCCCCAAGTAAAATGGCTGCAGAGGATATCTTGGGAGACCATTTACAGCATTTGCAGATAGAGAATGAGAAGTCAGGACTAATCTCTGAACCATATTCTCATTTCTATAACACAACGGATCCCTCTGAGATTGTGGGGCTGCGTCTTGCGTTATATGAAACCCAAACTTCACCTCTACGGTCACCTCTCAGTTCACCAATGCATACTCCTATGGGTTCCCCACTGCATATCCTGATGCGTTCTCCAATTGCTTCACCAATGCATTCCCACATAGTTTCACCAATGCGTTCTCCCATCAACTCATCTGGATCACTCTCTGATGTATTGTTCTTCGGCAAGAAAGCTTGAGGACAGTACTAAAGATAATCTTTCCCCACATACTTTCAAGACTCCTGCGATGCAAAACAGTGTGTACATTGTTTCAATTTTGTTTGCAAGTGAATGGATTACATGTAAGTTTTTCTAAGGCTCATTAAATAGAGCTGTGATCTTCATTTAATTAAACAAGCTCATCATCACTTAAAACAATCGAAGTAACACAGATCAGTGAAAAAACAGGTTTATAGTGCTGTGCTGTTCTTTTACTTACAGTTCATCACTTACACCATCGAAGTAACACAGATCAATGGAAAACAGGTCTGATTTTTATGTAAAAAGAAATCAGTAACTGCGTATACCTCAACAGATAGAAACGTTCAGATCATATGAACAATAAGAAAGCTGCTCCTAAATGATGTATCCACTCTTGACATAACTAAGGCCAAGGTAAGTTTTCTTTGTTTATGCAATATTTTTTGTCAACGAAACCTGAACTAAACCATAACACGTTTTATCCACATGCTCTTCTAAAATATAGCTAATGATTCCTGTACTTTGATTATCTTCAAAGAGAAGGAAACCAGCACAATCAATATGAAACTTAAAAGAGTGTATACTACCTTATTAGCTTACTCTGGGGCAAAAAAGAGAGTAAACTTTCAATCTTTAAGCAGATTATCAGAACTAAAATATTCACAGGCTGAAGAAAACAAATCAAAAGAAACAATAATTATTGAGCTGATAAATGCAAGAAGCTCAGGAACGGACAAAACTCTCTGTCCTCTGTTATATCTAACATACTCTACTTCTGGTTACTCGAGGAATTTCTTCCTTATCCAATCAAATGGGATGTGTCCACAAGGAATTACGTGTCAGAAATTTAAAGAAGATCCTGAGTTTTAGGAGGACTAACCAGTTCAAACACAATGTGATTCCCAGTTACTACAGTAATGCTTATCTTCATCCTTAATTTCAAAATGTTAGTTGAAACAAAAACAACAAAAAGTTTGAAACTTTGAATACGCCCTCCAAACACAAGTGTTCATAATCCATCAAAAAGAGTAATTCCACAATCAATTTCAAGAAGCTAACAGTTTTTTTTCTTGTTTAGAAGATAGGAGAAAAGTATTAACTAGTGCTTCATAAAAATTCTGAATTGCAGTTGAAATTAAGATAAAGGTGACACAGCTTAGATCACAAGTCCAATCTACTTCAAAGTTGCGATCACAGATCAAAGTTGTATTTTTTTTTTTTTCCTCTACTACCTTCTAAACAAGTTAACTTATAGAATCAAATTGGAAAGGAAACTAAAATCTATCGCAAGGAAAAGCTAAAGATAAAAAAAAATGTCAGACGGCGTTAGTGGCTATATAATTATTACGTCTTGGATTAAGACCAAGTTGGATACTCGCTTTCGATCACTACGTCTTCTCGTTTGAACCTATAATCAGTTCGACGATTCCCTCAGTATTTTCACACTTTGTGACATCTTACCCCGAAACAATCGAACAACCTGCGGTTTTTAAATTCTTTCTCCCGTCGCCTTATTTCTCATTTCTCATCAACAATTTTAATTCTTTTCTTTTTTACTTTTTTTTTTCACTTAATTGATTAGATAAAAAGACCGAAGCCTGCTAGCCATACAAAAGGACAAATGACCCAACCAACAGAAACTGAAACAAAGAAAGAAACTGGGCCAAAAGCCCAAACAAACTCTATCGAGTTTGACCTAAGCCCAAGGCACATGACGCCAAATCAAATCCCTATCTCTACCCACCGAACTTGTCGGAGTCGGCACGCCGCCGCGTCGGAAATAGCACAAACCTTCACCAAAGGAGATCCTTCCACGGAGAGAGTCAATCGGACACACCGAGATCTCATCCAGATCAATCAATCACACACTCAGGATACTTCCCAGACACTACAAGAAAACAAAGCATTTACTAGGAAATTTTACTAGGAAAACTCTTCCTCGTAAATTTACTAAGCCCTTACTAGGATCTTACGAGGAAAGCAAATTTCCTCGTAAGTTCCTCGAAAACTTACGAGGAAACACTTTCCACGTAAGACCTTAGTACATTTACGAGGAGATTACGAGGAAAAAGTACTTTTCCTCGTAAGGCCGTTGTAAACACTTTCCTCGTAAAGGCATAGTAAAATATTACTACGAAATTAGGAGGAAATAATTTCTTACTACGAAATTAGGAGGAAGTAGATAGGAAATATCGAATTTAAATAAAACACATGTTTTGTACCTACTTTTCCTAGCAATTTCCTAGTAAATGCTCAGATTCAAAATTTTCTATAAATACCACCTTATGTGATTCATTTGAAACACACAAAAAAAGACAGCTATAAGCTTGATCAAACCCAAAAAAATGTCCGGTCCGGGAAATATTTTCGAGTTGCGGCAGTGGATGTATTCACACAGAGATAATAACGGGAGGGTGACGAACGAATTTCTGGAAGGGTTGGAGACGTTCATGCATCAAGCAGATTCTACACCACTCACGCAGGAAAGTGGTAAGATGTTCTGTCCTTGTCGGAAATGCTGCAATAGCAAATTAGGC